TGGGCTTTGAACTGAAATAGCCATCTTGAAGACCATTTGGTGCATTTCACATTTCTCCCTGTTCTTAAGGCCTAAACTGCTCTAGTTTCTGAGCTACACGCTACGAAGATGTGGAGACTTTTTCGGGGAGGCTATTTCAAGGTTACCCAGACATCCATGGCGGCATCAAAATTATCTGTCATTCCATTGGCCATGCCGCGCTCAAATCTAAAACAAATGTATTTGTCGTCTTTCATGTGTGACGTTCGTGAGCACGATTTCCAGACGAGAGGGTCGTCAGTAGGCTGTCAATCAATGTTGCGTAAGGTTTGACGGCGTAATCAAACACTGACGTATTGAGGAGCATATCTACTAAATAAAAAAATTGTGTTGTCTGGAGCAGTATTTTCCACTTAAAAATGTACCAACAGTTATAAGTTACCTTATTTCACCAGATATGATGTTTGCTTCAATATCTTCAAATGTGGAACATTCTCTGTAGCTAATAACTAAGTCCATAAAATAGTGGCGATATTCCGTGCTGTCAGGTAGTATCGACTCGGACCCCGTTTGCGAGGATGCCCAGATTGCCCAGATTGCATTGACCAGATGGTGGGAGATATGAGTAGCCAAACTGACATATGGGAAGTGCACAAATGACAAACGGTTCATTGCGCCCTGCAAGCGGCGAAAATCAGCAGCTCGATAGTTAGAGGCTTTAACTCTATAATTGTACTACAATCAAACGTGTCTTGTTTGTGAAACAGACCAATGTCTCGCTGTGGTCAGACCGAAAGGTGAAAGACGCCAGACGTCGTCTCGGCAACACACGACAATACCACGCTGTCCGCAGCGGTGCAGCCATAGGCTTGGCAAATGGGGGGGGGGGGGCACAGGGCCCCCTAATGGTGAAAGGCTTTCCCAGAAACACCCGATTCAGCTCGCTTGATTTTGACGGGGGCACGATTCTCTTTGCTTTATTTTTAGTTTTACCTTTTTAACTGGAACTCAGCGAGCAGGTACAGAAAGATGCGATTCTGGTTGTATTTTGCAGCAGATAAACTGAAGAAAGCCCGCGTTACATGATTTCATGAAATAAATCGCTGGCGCTATTCCTTCGATAGTGCCTTAGTAGACTATTTCTAAACCGATAGAGCTCAGAGGTTTTGCCAGACTTCTTTGTGTTTTTTTTTTACAGAAATAGTGAGTGCCTTGTAAACGTAGCTTGCAGACAAAACATTGGCATTATTAATTGACGTTATATTTACGCCATCGTTATGGCTCCAAACTACACATTCATTGACATTATTTTTCGTGCTGCCAAGTAAAGCAATTTGAATGCACAACGGCAACCCATCTTCGTCCACAGATATTCACTTTCCTTTAGAATCGAGTTGTGAAAAAAATATGCTGCATCATTCTGAACATTCACGCTCACAATTCGGAGAAACCAAAACCATGGCGCCCAACGTTGCCGTCGCCATAAGCCCTCTGCAAAAAAGCACCTCTGAACGCCTTATTGAACTTCAGTTCGTACATTTAGGACAGCGTCGGAGCGTATGTTTTATCTGTGCGATTCTGTTATTGGTAATAGGAACAGATGAACATTGACAGCACGATAAATAGGTGCTGGAATTTGGTGGTGGAACTCGTGGAGTTGTGGAGTTAAGGTAGAATCTGTATTTTTGTGTTGCTATAGCTACCAACTGCCCCAGAACACAGCCTCAAAACTATGCAGCTTGAGCATACGGCCATGTTGAATCTTTAAGCTGTACGGATCGCCTTTGAAAGGGCTGAAAGTACTATAACCTACCGGTCGTTCTTGTGCGCCCGGCACCCACCACCTGGCGTCACCTGCAGCGGCCAGCGTCTTTCGCTTTGACAGAAACTGCCACCCGGCCATCGGTATTCTCGCTCCGAAGATTACGGGCGCGCAGACTAAAACTTGTTTATGCAATCCGCTTCCTTAGAAGATTCTGCAAAAGGATGAACATCCGCAGGCAAACATGGGTTGACTTTTTCATTTTTTGGCCCTATATCGATTCATTCTATTGAATACTTAGGAGATTTCTTACCGGGCAAAGGTGGCCGTGATTAGAACACTAGGTAACACACTATCGTTCCCGACCAAAGGCTGAAGAGCCATTCCATCGAAGCCATTCCAATCCCTCCATTGAAGAGATTCAACTTAATTTTAAAAGTACCTCCAGGAATAAAGCCAGAAACTGGGCATCATACGGCTCAGGTTCAATGATTTCAACATTTTATGACCCGTTGAGGGTGCAGTTTCTAATGTTGCATCGATCAATATGTACCACTTCAATCAGGATGTCAAAACCTAACCAATGATATCAATTTCAAAAGGACCGTAAGGACCCTGGTTCGATGGTTTTGAATTTATAAACCGGTAGTAATCATAGTTTCGGATGAGGCAAAAAACGAGACGCACCATCGTTATCATTATCATGCACCATTGTTCCACCGCAATAATGCACTGGTATGCACTTGGCTAAAATCATGAGAGTTTGTGCATGTGAATTCATATTTTTGACATCTCTGGCGTTCATAGTCTTGAATGTGCGTCGAAACACGATGTGCCTTTATGACGAACGCGTCAAACGTTACCATGGATTCCATTTGAGAAATATTGTAGTGATCAAGGTAAAACGATCTTGAAACTTGCACCCCACTGACGACCATCGTTTTAAATGTGGCTGAAACGGTATGCACCATCGTAATCAGCATGCCAAACTCTATCATTGATGTAGCGTGGCGGAAAAAGAGACGCGCTATCATCATTATGTTTAGCATTACGAGTGGTATGAATTCGAACAGCGTCGTGTCGGTGCGGCTGAGTAACAGTACATTTTAAAGATATCTGAACGTCGTAATTTGGAGTGTGGTTCAAAACGAGGTGCACCATCGTGATCAGTATGTTAAACACTACCGCTGATATTAGTTTGAGAAAAATCGTGGGATTACAGGTGCAACGGCCTTAAACGTCGTGCGCTTCTGACTGTCATAATGTTAAATGTGTATCAGAATGAGATGCAGCATCGTTATTATCATTTCAAACACTACTAATGATCTCAGTTTTAAAATGATCGTGCGGATCCGGGACCATAACCTATAACTTTATGCATCTCTTTCGGTCGTAATCATGAATACCATTGGAAACGACATGCTGTATCGTTATCAGCATGTTTAACACTACTAGAGGTATCTATTTAACCACAACCATGGGAGTCCGGACTCGTGACGTCACCATCCCTGGCGGTGATGGCCTTGACTTTGCCTCGAAACGAGCTGCCCGATAATAAACAGCATGTCAAATGATGCCGTTGATCAGTTTGAGAAAATCGTAAGGGTCCGGTGCGACTGCTTTGAACTTCGCACATCTCTAACGGTCATAGTTTCGAATGTTGGCCAACATGAGATGCATTATCTATATCAGCATCCCAAACACTACCACCGGTCTGAGTTAAAATAATCGTAAGGATCCGGGTCAACGACATGCCTTTGTACACCCCTGTCAATCATAGTTACGAATGTGTATCGGAACAATATGCACCATTGTAGTCAGCACGTCTAGCTCTGTCGTTGATGTGAGGTAAAAATCGCGTGTTCCGAGATTAAATGGCTTTGAATTTTGAAGACCTCTAGGGGTAGCAATGAGGATGTCAAGCATTACTATTGGCACAAATTTAAGAGAAAAATCATATTTTTTCTATTTCAGCCCGTGTTTGAATGTTAATGTGAGTGTGAACACGAGTACGAGGCTGTCCTGACAGAATCGCTTCGGGAGACGTCTCTAGGAGACCGGCCTCCGTTGGCGACTCTTCAGGTCGCATCCCTCACACCAACCAGACCCGGATAAATCGTATTTTTGATCATCGGCGCGCACGCACATCGCAATACAAAAAGAAATGCTGCGAAAGATGCACCCTTGAGTTAGAGTATTAGATTTTAGATTATATTTAGGTTAGATTAGACATAAGGTTAGATTTAGATGGAATTATATTTAGATTAGGTTAGATTTACATTTAGATTTATTATATATTTGTTTGGGAAGTGCAGGGCAAATTGGGCTCGCAGGAGGGCTCGCAAAAGGAATAACGTTTTATATTTCGTATTCGCTTGGGCTAATATTCGTATTCGTATATTCGTATTCGTATGCTAATATTCGTATTCGTATGCTAATATTATTTTATATTCGTTTGGGCCGAGTAATACTTACATTATTTTGGATTTGTTAGGTCTTAATAGTGCTTTAGTTGGCAAAGGTTACTTTGGCTTTGGCCCTCTCCCTTCCATAAAGTGATATCTTCTTCCACCTCACCATGGGCGTGGCTTCGGGGTGTTTGAAAGGTTGGGTGAGGTGACATTAGGCTAGTATGCGATCTCTGACAGTTTCTACGCCCAGCAAAGTTTGATTGACAATGCATATCGTTCATGGTCTTATGATCTCGCCTAATGCGAAGTCCCATAAAAAATGATTGACTCGAATATGGCGTCAAGGATCGGAAATTCCGTCTCCAATCAGGATCTACCATTCTAGGACTCGAACGTATGTGCGATGAAGCCAGACAAACTCGGACTCGGGCTCAAGATCCTAGCAACCGAGCTAGGACCCAGGTTCTGTGAGCATCACATGCTCTGCACAGGGACTTGGTCCATGTTTTGGGACCCATGCCGCCCCGGCGTCTGGCACGGACATGTCCCACACTGCGTTTCATGCTCCCGGACCAGGCCGCGATGCTCCCGAACCAGACTGCGATGCTCCCGGACCACACTGCGATGCTCCCGGACCAAAGTGCAATGCTCTTGGACCAGACTGCGATGCTCCCGGACCGGAATGCAATGCTCTTGGACCAGACTGCGATGCTCCCGGACCAGAGCGCAATGCTCTTGGACTAGACTGCGATGCTCCCGGACTAGGCGTGTCCCGCATTGCGTGCGATGCTCCCGGACCAGCCCGCCGTCCCGGGAGCTGGCCTGAGGCGTGCTGTCCTGCATTGCAGCATCACGGCGACGGCGGCCAGCATCGGCGCCGCCGGCATCCCGCAGGCGGGCCTGGTTACCATGGTGATGGTGCTGGACACAGTCGGCCTGCCAGCTGAGGACGTCTCGCTCATCATCGCCATCGACTGGCTGCTGTACGTGACGTGACGTGGCGTGACGTACGTGACGTGCCGTGCTCGGACCCCAGCCGCACCGGCCCCGCCCCGCGCTCACATGCCTCACGATTCGCGGCTGGGGAGCAGTGCTCCTGGTCTGCCGCGTGATAAGGCAGCTAGTAAGCTAGTGAGGTAAACAGTCAGCAGTAGCTGGCTTTACCATTCTTGCCAGCCAGCTCATAACGCTGAGTATCGATCTCGTCACATGTCGCCGAGAACGGCCCATTTGTCCGAGATGCGTCGTCTCGAGCGGACATCTGTCCGGGATGCGTCGTCTCGAGCGGACATCTGTCCGGGATGCGTCGTCCTGAGAGGACCGTTGGTCGTTTCCGAGTCGTATCGACTGTGCCATTGGCAGCCTCCTCTGGTGACTGACGCTGTTGACGCCCGCCCATCAGGGACCGGTTCCGTACGACCATCAACGTGCTGGGCGACTCTCTGGGCGCCGGTATCGTCAACCACCTGAGCAAGCACGAGCTGGCCAAGATCCCGCCCGCCACCGACATGATGCCCGCTAAGGCCGACATGGGCGAGAACGGCATCGAGGCCACGGCCATGTGAGGTGTGCGTCCTCGCGCGCGAGCCGGCCTGCGCCACCTCTGCCGCGGCGGTGTACAAATGTGACGCGGCGCGGCTTCTGTCGGCCGACGCGGCGCTCGGTAGTGCTCGGTGGGCACGCAGAGAAAGCCCATCAGCTGCGTGCACTGTTTCGACATCCCACCGACTGGGAGCCGCTCTTCAGCTGTAGCGGCGCTCGGCCCTCGCCCCGCTGTCCCTCAGAGCTGAAGTGGTATTCGTTTTTTGCGTAGTTTTCTAGTTTCAGGCATAGTTGTCGTGCGTGGACGTTAACTCGTGGTAACTCGATCGGCTGCGACGGATGCAGATGGCACGGCGCTGGCAGCGGTGTTCGTCCTCCCCGCGGCGTGCTGAACAGATGGCCGGCCCGTTTGAGCTTGGCGGTGCCGCTCCATATTCTCGTCTCGCCGCCTCGCCGTGTAGTGCGTGCGGGGACGTTTTTTTTTTTGTTTCAGCGGGACAGCTCCCACTCCTGTCATCCCACCAAGTGACTCGTTTGGCCCTATTGGATAATTGCCGCGCCGGAACCGTTGATTCAATAGAGCGCTGCCAACTAGACTGGTGCGTGTGAATGAGCGCCGGCTGGCGCAGCGGCGCCAGGGCGAGCGCGCCGCCTCTCCGGCGCCACTCGCTCCGGACAGCTCGGCCGAAGCGGGTCGGGCGACAGATGACCCAGCGTGCGGCGCAGAGGGCGCCGCAGCGCCGGCGCCAGTGACTGATGATCTCGGGAATCAATGGCAACGCTCCCAGAGACGCCCCTGCTGCGCGACAATGGGCTCAATTTCGCCGGAGTCAAGTGGGTGCCGTGGGGAGCGGCTCTTGCAGATGCTGCGCTCGGGCACAGCGATATCCGTGGCGAACAGCTCAAGTTGCATGACTTACCAGGTCGAACTTTAAAGTGGATTTTTCAATTGTTGTGTAGTTCGCAACCGAAGTAGTCAGCTTGTAACACATGCGTATATATTCACAGCTGCAATGGTATGAAGAGGCAAAACGCACTACTTTCTGAACTTGAAAACAATACACTCACTAGATCAATCCGAACCGGGATTCTTTGAATGAGAAAACAAAAGACCACCGGACTAACCACACCGACAGCCAGCGACCGGACCCAAAAGCAGTGCTGTCGGTTGCCTTTTAGTCAGGACCGGGATTCTTCGAATGAGGATACAAAAGATCACCGGACTGACCACGCCGGCAGCCAGCGACCGGACCCAAAACCAGTGCTGTCGGTCGCCTTTTAGTCAGGTGTGGCACTATGTGCAGTTTTAGAAGAAAGATGACGCTAGTAGTCCCTGCTCCATATTGTTCCTCTGAATCTGCCCCTTTGCAAAAACGTATGCATCACAGATTGTCTTGCAAAGAACTTAAGTGATATTCATTCTAACCAAATAAGCCAAGACAATGCATATTTTGATCCCCCAAAATATTTCTATCCGCACTGGCACTGCTAACATGTTCATTTCGGTTTTTAACTTGGTATACATATATGCTGCTCCTGTGCATTCCACTTGTGTCCCTCAAATTGGAGAAGGATTCTCCAGATCTCTAGGGTAAACAGAATCTGTCTCCACAGCTTAACATAAGTCTTAAAGCCCACAGGGCATAGGTTCAAGCACACCAACATTACGGTTCAGAAGCAGTCTATGTGTTCCATGGTTGTGCGGCTCTCATCCGGTTGTTTTGATTCAGAGAGCAACTGAGCTCAAACTTTGCCCTGAATCAGTTGATTCTATTCCGTGTGACGTCTTTTTGATTGCATCTCCTGTGTTGGTGACTTATACGACGTATGGTAATAGCGGTCCCGAAAAGAGCCAGGATGCTAGATGCAGATGAAGCACTTTATCCACCTTCGCTCGCGACAGCTCCCGGTACAGGAATGCAGTTCGCTGTTGTCGCTTTTACACCGTCTATGTGTATTTGTGCACACATCTGAAATGTACGCACATTTAACCCGGTAAGATCCTGAGAGTAAAATCGCGAAATATCTTCGGTTAGAACGGGAAAATTCGAACGGTTTTGAAAATTTCCTGACATGCGGTAAGAATCAATGACTTGGCCCCCGGCATAAGCAGCCACGTCTAAATCTCGCAGAAGCGAAGCAAAACAGCAAAGCTTGGGCCCTGCTTGTCCTCTCCCCCTCTCATGAGTTGCACGGTCGGGGCCTGCTGACGATACCCCTGAAATGAGTTCGAACTGAGCTTAAAATGAGTTTCGTCCCTTGCAGTCGGTGCGACGTAAAGCCGCAAGTAATATTTGGGGGCTCCGGTTCACAGGGCAGGGCCTAAAGCGTTGTTCGAAGGGCCTCTTTCGCCGATATAGGGGGAAGGGGGGAGACTGGAACGATGAGCACGGTCATATTCCGCCAATACTAAGGCAGTTCTGTGTCAGTGTTGGCTCTGGGGTCGACTTCCCAGGCGGGAACGAAGCCGGGTCCGCGATTTTTCTGAACACCTCTTGCATTGTTCGAGGCCCTTGAAACAATTTGTGCTCTTTATATCAGCCAGAGGCCGAGGGTGTCTAACAGAGGATCCCGTGTTGGCGGGGGCTCTGAAGCTGGCCAGGGGCTTTGATGAACAGAAATGGGGACGTGGGACCCTAAATATCAGAGGGTCTCTTGCGTTTGTCAGGGCGCTCTGCAAATGACAATAACCGATAAATGACAGTGAAAGGGTTCATAATGAAACCATGAAAGGTCACTGTGTCAGTAAGGTTGCTAGGATCACTGACAGGACAAGGACGGTAGGAAAGAATTGTCAAAGGTTTTTTATGCCAACTAATTTTCCAGTTGGTAAAATCACTTGCAAAAAACGGCTTTTACATTTGCATAAATACGGCTTTTACATTTGCTTAAAACGACTCCTTGTCAATGGGTAAAATTCACGATACATACTTCCAATACGTGAAAGCACACGATAAATTTCCTGCTTGAGCCAGAAGAAAAGGTGCTCCAAAAAAACTACCGACACCCTAGTATTTGGACCCCGTGTAACCGTTTTACAAGCCCGACATCCCGCGCCGAGCCACGCTGCTCAATTGGCTGCTCGTCGAGAATGCAATGCATGCAAGGAAGCGTACCAAATCACACTGTCGGGTGCCAACTGCAATTTGCGCTTGCAGGTGTGTGGTCGGGTGCCGGCTGGCCCGTGGTGCAAATTTGCGGAACTTGATTTGCGAAGAGCCTGGAATGCGGCTGCTGGTTATTGGCCTATACTTGGAGAATGTCTGCAATCGCTGGCCTGAGATAGACAGAGAACGGCCTGAAATTTGCGCCGCCATGACATAGTAAGGGCGGTTGGAATGGTAGACAGATACCGTCTTTGTATATGGCGCGGGCCTCGGCTGCGCACGGCACCAATATCCAACTGATTCGGAGACTTGACGCAAGGTGGCAGGGTTGGCTGTCGGCTGCGCCGGTACGAGAGGTTTTTTCCCCCGGCGACCTAGCCATAGCCGGGGCTGGGAGAACTCACTTCGAACTCAACGCCAGGCAAAAAGCTACCTTAAACCAGCTTTTGCTATCCGGTTCAAAGCAAGGCACAGGGGTAAGCTACGTTACGTTAAACCGGCTAGTGCTGTCCGGTGCCAATGCAGGAAAAACGCGCTCCAAACTACGTTAAACCAGCTAATTTAGTCCGGTACCAAATGCAAAGTAAGACACGAGACACACACACATTTATTGTATTCAACAATCACAATACGTTTGGATGACGGACGACCACCTCATCGCAGTAAAGGTTTCCCCGCACGGCAAACGGCGGGCCCCGGCTCGGCGGTCAAGTCCGCCAGCGACCTGAACCGTGTCCCTCCCCCACACTGAATGGGGGGAGTGGCCTGGTGCGACCTTGTCGTGTTGTGCAGTGTAATCCGAGAAAAGTTCTAACTACAAAAAAACGGATTCCTAAACCCACGGGCAAAAACCGGCACGTTTATGCCGAATTGTCCTTGGAAAAAACTTTGCAAACGAGGAAAACCAGCACGTTTTAGCCGAATTGCGCCTGGAAAAAACCTCAAGGCAATGATGAAACCTGCTCGTTGGAAATTGAGCAGGTGAAAACCTCGCAACATTTATGCTGTTGTCTGTAATTATCTAAATTGGTTTTGTGTAGGTATTTGAAGAGGAGCGCCAAGAGTTCCGGATGTGTGTTGCCTAGTATGGTAGGCGGCGTCAATGGGTGTCTGTGTTTGTTTGTGTAATGCACGAGTTTTTCACGGCAGCGCCTGCAGACTGGGCACGCCAGCATGAAATGTGCTATCGTGTATGGTATGTGGCCGTAGTGACAGAGTAGTGGCGGGTTGCGCTCCATGATGTATGCGTGAGTTAGTTTTGTATGGCCTATTCGCAGCCTAGCGAGAAGGATCTCCTTAAGGCGCGTGTTCTGGTTGCCTGAGCTCCAGGGTGAGAGTGTTGGCTAAATGTTGTGCGTGTGTTGGCGGCCGTGGTCGTCCCATTGACGTTGTAAAAACCAGCGATATGTTGAGTTTATGGCAGTAAGATAGTCGGATACTGGCTAGGCAAGATGGTTTCGGGCTGGCATGTTGATGCTTTCTTTTGCGGCAGCGTCAGCGAGGTCGTTCCCCTGGATGTCCGTATGGTCTGGTACCCAGAGGAAGACAACGTGTGATTCCGCTGGTAGTGATGATAGCGTGGAGAGGATTTTGTAAATCAAAAGGTGCGAGGAATTGTGCATAGCTGATATGGCGTGCAGGGAAGAGCTGGAATCGGTGCAAATTACAGTTTGTTTGATGGCATGTTTCTTTAACGCGGCAAAGTGCTGAACAGATTGCCACTAATTCTGATGTGTATACTGTGTGATGATCTGAGAGGTGTTTGGCTTTAGTATAGTGATTGCATATATATGCTGCTTCCGCGCGGCCATCGCCTCGGGAGCCATCAGTATAGATGTATGTATATGGGTTGTGCTTATTGCGAAATTCCGCAAACAGGGACTGGGCTTCCGTATTTGTAACGGTAGGTTTTTTTGTGCGTTAATGGAAACCGAATCTTTGCAGCGGTGTCCCAGCCAGAACGGACGTAGTGGAGGCGCGGGCAGCGTGTGAATGCTTGGCCGTTGGAATAGGCGTTGTGCTTGTGTTCCGCGGGCGCTGATCGTGAGGTACTCGCTGCGTTGTGAAGTGGGTGCAGTTAGTGATTTGAAAGTGGGCTGTGCGGGTCTGGCAGCTACCCGCGCGTTAAACCTGAGAACCTGTTGCTTGCGTCGGTGTATGAGTGGTGGTATGTGTGCATCCGCCAGCGGGCTGGACACCGGGGAGGTTCGGAGGGTGCCAGTGACCACGCGGGGAGCGGCGTTCTGGATCGTTTCCAGGGCGTTAATTTTGCTCGAAGAAATGCCATCAAATATAAAGGCACTGAAGTCCAAGATCGGTCGTATCAAGGCGGTATGCAGATGGAGCAGGCTGCGCCTATCGGCTCCTCACGCTCGTCCGGCGAGACATCTTAAGATATTAGGTCGTCCGGTGCAGCGTTGTTTTAGGTCGGCAAAATGGAGCGAGAAAGTAAGTCGGCGATCCAGGGTGATCCCGAGGTACTTAAATTG